AAAGAAATTTCGAAAAATGTTATTCTTGATAAATGGTTACATTTTAATTGTATTTTATGCTAATTATTTTTTTCGTAAAGTGGTTAGTTTACAAAAAAACGCTTGGTTCCATACTTTTTATTCACCCAGTATTATTTAACAATGAAATGCTATTTTTCTGTTCAAAGTTTTTTGTTCAAAGTAATGATTTTGTGATTTTTTATTTGTTTTTAACATTTTATTCAACTTTGATTAGAGTGTCCTGTGATTTTGAAATTAAGTTGGCAACAACGACTGTCAAATTCAAACGTCAAATTTTTACCATCAATTGTCACTCGTTCGCTTTTTCTACAAAATAATTGCGTTTCTAACTGGAAAACGTATTGCATTGCTCGAAAAATAGAAAAATTCTGTAATTGTTGATTTTTTGATTTGAAATATTGCGAAAAACTTGAGATTTTAGTACAAAAACGGACCATTTTTTCGAGTTATTTTTTTTCTTAATTAGGTCCAAAAACCAGTTAAATTGAACAAAATTTTATTTTATTTTTTGTTTTTATCTTATGGTTAAAAAACACTTGAAATAGACAAAAATAACGTCATTTTTGACTTGTTTTTAACGAAATTTTGCAAAATAATTGTTTTCTAACTGAAAAATGGATTTACTAACGCAAAATTTGTTTTTTTGTTTTTTTTTTTTTGAGAAAAGACGAAATAAAGTCTGATTGAAAAATGTCCAAAATGCTTGAAAAAAAATGCAATTTTTTTTGTTGTAACCGTTTTTCTAAAAAATCACCAGATATTTGAATTTTTACAAGTCTTCACCAAACTAGCATGAAAATCACCAGATCTGGTGAAATGTCACAAGACTAGGCAACATTGCGTATTATTTAACAATGAAGTGCTATTATTGTTTCGGTCCTGGTAGTTTTTTGTTGAAAATAATGCTTTTTTATTTATTTTTAACACTTTATTCAACTTTGATTAGAGTGGCCTGTGATTTTGAAATTAAGTTGGCAACAATGACTGCCAAATTCAAACGTCACAATTTTACCATCACTTCATTCGCGTATTGCAACGTTCAAAAAATGAAAAATTTTATAGTTTTTGAGTCAATTTGTTTCAATGAAATATTACGAAAAACTTTAAAATTTAGTACAAAAAACGTACTTTTTTTAACATTTTTTTGTGTTTCTTTTGTCTTAATTAGCCCCAAAAACCATTTAAATTGAGTGAAACAACCATTTTAATTGTTTTTGTAATTTTTTTTAACCTATTTAAACAAAAAAAAAATTATTTTTTTTTGCTTTTGTCTTAAAACACTCGAAATAGACAAAAATGTCATTTTTGGCTTATTTTGTTGAATTTTTGGCTTGTTTTTCTGCATAATAATTATTTTTTATCTGAAAAATGGATTTACTAAAGCAAAATTTGGTTTTTCGACTTCTTTTGAGAAAAGGCGAAATAAAGTTTTTGATTGAAAAACGTCCAAAATGCTCAAAAAACAAAATTCACAAATCATCAGATATTTGAATTTTTAACTAAATGAATATCACCAGATCTGGTGAAATGTCACAAGACTAGACAACACTGCGTCACCTCTAACAAATTAGCAGTGCTACCAACAGAATAAGTTATAATTTGAAGTGCTTGTAAAAATAAATTAAGTTTGTTAAATATTTTGAGTAAAATGTTTATACATTTGTAAGTTTCCTCATTCCATTGCTTATTTTGGCACATTCGCACACTTATAATAAACATTTCTCTTTCGATTTATTTACTTTTAGTGTATTTTTTTTCACCTTGACATTCTTTCTGTCTCTTTTTAGATACAACGGTTTTCTACCTCAAGGCGATCGAGGCAGACGACGTAGCAAATTCGTATTATACAAACGGCCGACAGCGAACGGTGTCAAAAGATCGAAACATTATGTTGTTAAAACACCCCATTCATCGCAAGCTATCTTGGACGCAAACCAACATTCAATATCCTACACATTATCGCGTAACCATGCCGTTATAGTAGAGTACACCCCCGATGACGATACCGACATGTTTCAGGTAACTTTTACATTGGCAACACTGATTTGGTAACTTTTTTTTTTGTTAGATTGGTCGTTCATCGGAGGCCCCCATCGACTTTGTCGTCATGGATACCGTCCCTGGTGACAAAACAGGCGAAACCAAGGTGATGCAAAGCACGATATCGCGATTTGCATGTCGGATTTTGTGCGATAGAAAAAATCCGAAAATTGCAAGGATATACGCCGCTGGTTTTGACACCTCCAAAAACATATTTCTTGGGGTGAGAAACACAAAAAAAAAAAACAATTCAATAGTGAAATTTTTCTTCCAGGAGAAAGCGACAAAATGGCAAGAAAACGGTCGCGAAATTGATGGTTTAACCACCAATGGTGTGTTGATTATGCATCCAAGAGGGACGTTTTGTGGCGGTGATGCCAAGTGTAGTTATTGGTTGGAGACTTCAGTAGGTGGCGGTGTGTTTTCATTGAGGGAATCAAGATCGGCACAACAAAAAGGACAAGTTGTTGAAAATGAAACGAATATTTTAGAAGATGGAACTTTAATTGATTTGTGTGGGGCCACATTATTGTGGAGATCGGCAGAGGGGCTCACAAAATCACCGGTAATTTTATTTCAAAATCCCTTTTTTCCATCCTTGACGAGTCGCACATGTCGCGTCATTTGTACTATTACCATGGAAACAATCATAATAAAGTGTGTAACTATGGTAACGAAACTTAGTTGTCATAGTAACCATTTCAAAACCAGTGGTGGCGTCTATTTTTAATTATTTTTTTTTATATTGTGAAAATTCCAGAGCAAGCGCGATTTGGAGCGCGAAATCGACGAGATTAACGCAGGGCGCCCCCAGTGCCCCGTCGGCTTGAACACTTTAGTCATTCCTCGAAAAGTCACACCGAACGAAAATTTACAACAGCCTTACGTTTATTTGAATTGCGGACATGTTCAAGGTTTGCATGATTGGGGCCAAGATAAGGATTCGGGGGCGCGAAAATGCCCCATTTGTCTCGAGGTAGGACGTCGTTGTCTTTGTCAATTTTTAATTGTTTTTTTTTTGTAGTTGGGGCCGGTGGTTAAGGTTTTCATGGGGCTCGAGCCGGCGTTTTATGTCGATTCGGGGCCCCCGACTTTTGCGTTCAATCCGTGCGGACATATGGCCACTGAAAAGACCGTCAAGTGAGCGATTTTTTGTGTTTTTTTAGTGGTGGTAATTTTTTTGTAGGTATTGGGCAAATGTGGCTATTCCGCATGGTACAAATGGGTTTCATGCCGTGTGCCCCTTTTGCGCTTCGCCCCTGGCGGGGTCTCCGGGGTACGTCCGCCTAATTTTCCAAGATAATGTGGATTGAAGGGGGGGATGTAGAGTAGTCTACCAAAGCTTTATTTATATTTGCTATTTTATTTAATGGTTTTTAGCAGTCTCAATTATGTTTATGGAGTTTCCCCAAATGTAATTAAATTGTAATTATTGTAAATAATTGCACTTGAAGATGGGAGTGAGTCGAGAATTGCAGTTTGTATCATATCATGATTTTTAATTGCGGTTTATTACAGTGCAAATGTTAAGACTGGTTAGGATTTAGCTTATACTATGATAAGTATTTAATATAAATCGACCTGTTAATGCAATTTCATTCAAAAAACAAACCATATTTTTACATACTTAATTGACCCAGATTTTTTCGTGATATAATTTTCTCTGTTAGTCACTTTTTGTATATACTAGACGTTAAGTTGCCGTAGTTAACATTTAAGCTACTATAGTCCCACGAAATGAATTTATCTGTGCCTGGATTCACTAAAAAAAAGTTTAAAAATCAACCAATCTTCTCATTTAAAACCCTTTACTCAGTCATTCGCTTTAATTTCACTAAAACCTACTTTATATACAAACAGTCTTAAAATAATGGTACCCTTACATTAATTGTAATTAAACATGATTTTAAATAAAAATAAATACTTTGATAATTTGTCAACACCCTCCTAATACATGATAACTTTATACCACTACAACAATTTAAAAGTGTCAATTACACTATAAAAAGGACACTAACCCAGCTAACTAAAAATAATTCAAAGATCAGACAACTGAAACCCCCGGAAGCCAACCACTATGACTAAGATATTGCGTAACAACATCTTTGACGCTAACTTCTGACGAATTTTTATCAATTTCAACAGTACGATGTCGATTTGGAGACAAGAGATTTTCCTAAAAAAAAAACAATTAAAATCACCAAAAATAATTTTCGAAACACCTCACCTGAATAATAAGCGATTTCAGAGTTGTATATTGGACGGGTTGCAAATTTAAATTCTTGCAAAGCTGAAAATCCCTAATAAAAAATAAAATTATCACAAAACCGACATTACCTGTATTTCATGTTGGGACAATAAGGATCCTAACGGTAAGGCATTAGGTGACGGTGGTCTCAAATTATCCGAGTTCGAGTTGTTTGGCTCTTCTGACGTGAATTTTTTTTCGGATAAATTTTGGTTTTCTTCGTTTTTTCTACAAAATAGTTTTATTTCTCACATTAATAATTGGTCTAAAATCTTACCCGTTTTTTGACTGGATCTCCGGAACTGATATTTGATAGCCACTGCTGCCCTAAGTGAAATGCAAACTGATACAATCTGTTTCTGTTTACATATTTGTTTCTTTTGAGTCTAGCCTGCACACAAACCAAACCATGATGATGGTATATAATGAACGAAACTTTGCGTGCATCACGTTAGTTTTGAGTTAATGAACCACACACACACATTCATTCATTACTATTTACAAATCGATACTTACAGACTTATTTTGTTGTTTCTGATACGCCATGTGTTGTTCTTGATGTATAACTTCCTCTTGTGTTGTTAAACCTAAACTTCTATATCTGTACAATTCTGATAAACGATGACGTAATTCTTTCTCTCTTTCGAGATTATTAATTAATTGTTCATGTTCATTGGATGTTAAAAATTGACTAAAAACTTTCATATTTTCTCTAAGCTCCTTCTCCTCTTTTGTTTGAACTCTCTTATTGGAATCTTTTCTTTGGTTTGAGAAAAATTTTGCAACCAATTGATAATCACGAACGATTCGTTTTCGTTTCGCTCTTTCACGCAATCTCCTAGTGTACATATCAACCATTGATAATTTTAACGCTACTTCAACTTCAGTATCTTCACAAGTGTCTAATTGTAAAGTTGACACAAGTTGTTCAGCAGACATGTCATATTCCTAAATTACAATTAAATTAATTAATGAAATAAAAATTTGGGTTGGTACCCTCTCAAAATCATCTCTGTGTGGTCTATAACCTAATAATTGAGCTTCTTCTGGTGTTATATCTAATGGTGGCAATCGTGCAATTACTGAGGGTGATAATGGTCCATTATCTTCAGGTACATGATCAATTAACATGGGTTGACGGTCACGTGACTCAGCCCATGTTGCTTTCCCTATATTACCATCTAAATAACGCGAAATGTACTCATCTCTCACTTCTACAATAAAAAAATCAATTTTAACCTCAAAATTGCGTTAAAATCACCTTCAGGACTCCGTGTTTCGACATGTTGACTCACTAACTCCCAATTTCCAAACCCATACAACTCGACAGCGTCCAATAATTGGAGTTCTTCGCCCCCGGTCCAATTCCCCTTGCCCCCAAAAATACTAACCGACCAGTGTTCCTAAAATCAATTATTAAACAATTAATTGGGACATTAAACCGGCACTTACCACAAATTTATAAGCATGATCGTTTTTATGTGTCCCAATTTCGGCCCCCGTTGAAAAACACTGGAAAAATTCAAATTTGGCGCCATTTTGTGTCACCGCCCTAATCACGTGACCTACCTGCAAGCAAATGTCGAATTCCTCGCAAACGCAACATTGGACACGAATTCCCGTTATTTCTTCCTCGCAATTAGTACAAGACACTTTTGCAAAGAGATCTGGAACAATTTGAGGGGTTTTGTGGGGGTTTTGGGGGAAAAAAATTCACAAGCGTCACTCACCAGCCATTTTCTTGAAACGTCAAAATGACGAGTGGTGGGGGCAATGCCACCAAAGTCAATTTATGCCGTTTGGGGCATTTTTGGGGGCGGTTTTGGGGTTGGGGGGAACACTGACACGAGATTTGGGGGAAATGCAAATTTTCGGATTAAATTTTTGAGTGCTATGACAGGAAACGAGCAATCGCGCATGAGCGTACTTACGAGAAATCCGCCAGAGGTCGCATTTTTTTCCTATTTTTTTTAATTAGCACATGAAAAAATCAGAAAAATATTAAACTAACGAAGAGTTTAAAATACGACATGTTTTAGATAAACTTAAATTAATAAAAAGAACTTTACAATTAAATTAAAAAAATATATCTCAACCGATAAAACAGTGTCCTGACAAACTCGATTAGAAGGTTATCAAATAATATCAAAAAATTTCAAATAAAAATTAAAAAATATTACTTATGAAGGGTTTAAAATTAAAAAAAAACATAGATATTTATATTAACTTGAATTAATAAAAAAGCTTTACTTTAAAATTAAAAAGAATCTCAGTCGATAAAACAGTGTTCTGACAAACTCGAATAACATTAGGGGGTTATCAACAAACGCAAAAAATATAAATACGCCTATAGTAAATCAGTTTGTTACAAAACATGTCGCGAAATTTCGGCAAAACTGTCAACGAAGCTGTGAAGCCCCTATCTTGGTTAATCGGCCATTGGAAGTCCATCAAAGCCGAGGGGGTTTACCCCACCATTGAACCCTTCTCATATTGCGAGGAAATGGTCTTTGAGAGTATAGGCCAACCCTTGTTGAACTACACGTCGCGTACCTGGCATCCAGAAAAGGGGAATCCCATGCACCTTGAGAGTGGCTTTCTACGAATCAATCCTGGAACAAATAATATCGCTTTTATGATTGCCCACAATTTCGGTGTGACTTCATTGGAGGAAGGTGTCGTCACGAATACAACACTTAAATGCAAATCGACGCACATCTCACGAATGACATTTGCGAGGGATCCCCCGGTTTTGGCGCTTGAGAGGGAGTTTAAACTTGTGGAAAACGGCAATTTGGAAATAACTGTGTATATGGAAACGTCCAAAACGCCCCTAACGCAACATTTGAAAGCCTTGTATGAAAAAATGTAAATAAAGACACAAGTTGAAAGTTTCCCATTTATTTCAATCTCAGTCGATAAAACAGGGTTCTGTCACACTCGTGACCTTAAACTCAATTTTTTCAATGAAATACCCTAATTTTTATTTTACTAAATAAAAGAGAATTTAATTCCCTATACCTAAATTTAAAAATTTTCAAGTTATGGACTAAAGCTAACAAGTGAAAAAAAATTATTTATTTTTTTAATGAACGACATCATAATTTTGTTACACTCTCCATAAATACAAAATAAATTAATTAAATCTAAGTTTGAGTGGCTTTGACTCTCCATATTTTGGCACTATTTGTCAAATAATAAGTTACTGTTGACGTTTATTGAGAAACAATTTTGACATTTTTCATTTCCATAGCAAACTATACGAAAACGTAATAGATTTTCGACAGTCTTAACAAAAAGTCATTATAACTTTATTTTTTTTAATGTTATTGGCTCTGAGTTAATTTAGAAAAATTTATTTTTTAGTTTCATACCAATTTTGATCAAT